TCGGCGCGGAGGACCACGGTCACGGACGTCATCCAGGCCACGAAATCGGCCCAGAGGCGCGCGTACTTGGCCCTCGGGACCGCCGAGATCGAGAGGGCCCTCAGGACATGGCCCACCGAGAGGCGAAAGGAGGCCGCCTCGGGCGCCCGCGCCGCGGCCCCCCCCGCACGCTTGGCGTCCGCCTCCGCCGGCCTCGACAGGCGGCTGCATCTCGCCCGGCGCTGGCCTCGCTGTGAGGCCGCCGCCTGGCGGGAGCCCCCCGCCGCTGCCTGGCGCGGGACCATCGCCGCGAGAGGCGCCGGCACCAGCGCCTGCCTGTCCGGCCTCCCGCGCGGCGGCCAGACTGGCGACTGCATCCCAGCGCAGCCGCGCGCCGATCCCCAGCGCCCGGCGGGAGGGCAGATCCGCCGGGTTCGCCTCCGACGGGATCCACCGCAGCGCCGCGGCGACGCCCCCTGCCACCACGAGGGCGGCCCACTGGCGGCAAGTGCGCGCCATCCTCGGCCGCGAGGAGCGGCCCTTGGTCAGAGCCAGGACGGCGACGAGACTGTCTGAGAGGAAGAGGACGCGATGGCCGCGCCGCCCGGCGTCCCGGAGGACGTGCTTCAAGGCGTGGATTAGGGCCCCCCCCTCCAAGGCTGCGACGTGCTCCTCCCTCCCCCAGGCCCCGCTCGAGATGACGACCCAGCCCCCAGAGATGCGATGAACTTCCAGGGGCTCGAAGTCGGTCTCCTGGGGCTCCACGTGGGTGCTACCTCTGTCTATGGGGGCGAAAAGCTCCTGGATGTCCGACGGTGCGCTGCTGACGTGACCTCTCGAGGACGGCTCGGATCCGAGGCCTCCAGGGGCTCGAGGGGCTCGATGAGCCGCTCCCGTGGCGCCCTTGCACTGGGGTCTCGCAAGCGCCAGCACTCCTGGATTTCACGCTCGCACACCCCTCGGCCCCACTCGAAGGCATCCGCACACAAGACTCGGCCCAACCAGCGGGCCCCGAGGTCGGCGTGCGCCAGCGGGACAACTCCCATGGCCCACGCCAGCTCTCGGCGCACGCTGGGCCACCAGGGCCTGGGCGCCTCGTTGGCCTTTGCGATGAAGCGGTACACGGCCGAGAAAACAGCCAGCAGCGGGCGCCTCACCATGAAGAGGACGGTGTAGTGCCCCACGACCTGGCGCACCTGCTGATCCGAGACCTTCGGCATGGCGAGGAGCGCACGCGTGGCCAGGATGATCCCCCCAGGCTCTCCGAGGCGAAGGCGCGACGGCTCCCCGCGCGCCATCGATGGCCCAGCCCAGCACCTGCGCGTGGAGCGAGGCAGGCTCCTCCTCATGCACCGGGAGGCCCGCGCTGCGCAGCTCGGTGACCATGTCATCCCTCAGGCGGTCGGCGCTGTCCCCGTCCAGGGCGAGTGGCGCGAAGTTGTCGACGTGCACGAGATGCGCACCGGCGCCCAGACTAGGGCACGCCGGTCCGCGATCCTGGACAGCACTGACAGCCCTGCGCGGTCGGCGGCCGCCTCCGACACCCGCTGGCAGATGGCCAGCGCGTGGGGCCAGCCCATGGGCAGCACCGCGGGCCGCGGCCAGAGCCGCTGCGGGCGAGGCTGCCCGGGGACGGCCTCACGCCCAAGCCTCCAGGAGTCCTGCGGAGGGAGCGCGAAGTACGGCCTCCAGGCGTCCGGCAACTTCATGTTGTACAAAGCGTCCGCGATGTCCGCCGAGGCGGTCCACCAGTTGGCGCCGTCCGGCAACTCGATCGCTGCCAGCGCAGCGCCGGTGGCCAGGCGGGCGCCCTCGGGGTCGCCGAACCAGAAGTTGGCCGGGCGGGCGTCGACGACCAGCCGCTGCTTCCCGCTCTTCTTGGCCACGCTGAAAAGTCCAACCTCGTCGACCACCAGGGCGGCGTCGCTGACGAGGTCGACCACCCCGGCCTCATGGAGACGCCTCACCAGCGCTGCATAGCGGCGAGGGTCTCGAAGGCTGGGGTCCGAGTAGGGCTTCTTGCAGCCAGCGCGCTGCTTCTGCTGCAAAACTTTGGTCTTTGGCCAGACCTTGCACGAGATATCACGATAGACGGAGTCGAACACCTCGGCGCCCAGAAGCCGCCCCAGCGTCGCAGGGTGGTTACCTGGGGGAGGCAGCGAGAGCCGGGAGACGTCCATCGCCTCTGCCCTCGTCGACAGCGAGCCATCGTGGGACAGAGCAGCCTGGAGCTCCTGCAGGGCTGCCGAAGGCTGTAGGTAGGTAGCCTGGCGGGGGACCCAGCTGGGCGACGGAGTCCGCGATCCGCGTCAGGCACTGCTGCTGCGCGAGAGTCGCGCCAGCCCGCGGCAGTGAGCCACCCTGCGCCCTAGCGCCGCTCAGGCCATTGAGCGCCTCGACCGCCTGCCGCGCGAGCCAGGGCGCGGACGCAGCGCGCCGAGCGCGCCGCCGCACGGCTCGAGAACAGGCGCCAGCAGCCAGCCCGCCAGGATCGGCGGCGCCAGGCACTGGCAGCGGAAAGAGGTCTCGCTGCCGCTCTGCACCCGAGCCGTCGAACGTGCTATGTACACCCTCAGCGCCACAAGTTGTCGCCGAGATGGGCCCCGATGCCGCAGCGCCTGGGGGAGCTGGGCCACTGGGCCCCCCCGGGCATGAGAGAGTCATGCCTTGGCTCCGCTGGCTTTCGGCCCAGCGGCGGCCTTCGCCTCCTCCCGCAGCTTGCGGGCGTTCTTCTTGATCTGACTGATGCGCTCGAGCTCCTCCCCGACGACGCCCAGCAGGGCGGGGCGCGCCATGCTGCTCGGGCGGCTCGACAGAGCCGTGCCGCCCACGAAGGCGGAGACCTCTTCCACCGGCAGCTTCAGTTGTCCAGCATCCTGCTCTCGCTGCTTCTCGTCCCAGAAGTGCTCGATCAGCTGCATCTTCCTCAGCATCCGCTCCACGCCGAGGAGGTTCGTCACAATGACCTCGTCATGCGTGGCTAGGTCCTCCAGCACGGTGGAGAGCGCGTGGTGCTCTGAGACTCCCCAGTCCGAGGAGCTGAACCGCTTGCGGGACTTCCAGCTCTCGTGGTGCTGGATGGGCCCGCCCTCCCTCAGCAACCACGCCACGCACGACCCCGCGGACCTCGGCTGCAGGGTGAAACTGGGGTCTGCCACCTCCACTGCCGCCTCGGTCACCGCGAGCCAGCTCCGCGCCGGGCGCGCGCCCGGCGTGCGCGCCAAGATCCTCGCGTCGGTCCCCCGACACTTGTCGATGAAGTCGCCTCGCTGCCGGTCCTCATGGAGGAAAGCCATGGCGGAGGCCCCCCCGACGAGGGTGACGGTCGCCCTTCGGCCCGCCCGCGCGGCCAGGAGCGTGCCACCGATCGGGCCGACCTGCGCCGCGGAGCCGTAGGCGAGGCCGCCCGCGTCCTCGGCAAGCACCCACGACCAGCCCGCTGGCGCCTCGCCGTTCTCCCCAGGGGGGCGCCGCCGTCGTCCTTCCAGGAGGGTGGAGCGCCGACGGCGGGGGGGGCGCCCGGCGCGATGGGCACGCCAGCCGCGGGTCCTGGCGCCACCACGGGGACGCCCGTCGGGCGCGGGCGGCCCAGCAGCAGCAGCCGCCACGGCGGCGCCGACCCCGGCCGCGGGCGGGGCGGCGGCAACCCCCACGGGAGGCGGCACAGGCCCCACGACGGCGGCCGCCACGAACCCCGGCAGCAGGCCCCCCACCATAGGCACCAGGGTGCCCCCAGGCGGCGCGGGCACCCCAGGATGGCGGCGGCTGAACTCCGCGTCGGCCTCCGCGACGGCGGCCGCCAGCCAGGCCGCCTCGCGCGCCGCCGAGGGGGCCTGGCGGAACCTGTACGTCGAGCGAGGGTCGATCCCCGGCGGCGGCGGCCACCTCGTGGCCGAGAACCTCACCGCCGAGACGTCGGGCCCCGCCGCCAGCAAGGTCTCGGCGTAGACCATGTCGTCCGGGGTCACGATGACGACGTCACTCGTGAGTGCCACTCTGGTGGAACAGCGGCGCGCCGACCACGTTGTACAGGACCCACGCCCACGTTTCCGCCATGAGGCCCCCCGGCGAGCGCGGCGAGCGGCGGTGGCGACCCGGTCGCGCTGGCGACCGTCGAAGGCCGGCCGCGGCCCTCCGCCGCAGCGCGGCGCCCAGAGCCGGAGCGCCGTGAACGTGCCGAGGGCCCCGAACGACGCGCCAGCCAACGCGGCCGTCCCACAGGCGAGGGCGACGGTGCCCGTGGTCGCGCCCACCGTGGCTCCAGGGCAGGGCGGACAGGATGGGCAGCTGCACCCCGGGCACGCTGGGCACGGCGGGAGCTCCACCGCCGGGCAGCGCGCGATCCAGGCCTGGAGCGCAGGGACGCCCCAGCGGTCGATGAGCCCTGCACAGCCCGCGGGAAGCCCCAGGAAGGCCCCGGCCATGCGCCGCGGCCAAGCCGCGGCCCACCAGCTCGAGAGCCGAAGGCTATTGAAAGGACACAACGCATTCTGCATTCGGCCTCTCCCTTCCCCTCTAAAGGCATTCATCTTCAATAGAAAAGTCCATCATCATCATCAGCAGCATCGTCAGCGTCACCACCATCATCATCGACATCGCCAACATCGTCGTCGTCGTCATCGTCATCAGAATCGTCATCATCATCAACAACAACAG